TACTTTGATTAACCATAACTATTAGAAATAAGAGTTAGTGGTTACAAGTATGGAAGTGGTATAGTACTTGTGCAAGTACTACAACAAGATAAATTTTATGTAACGAATCACGTAAAAATGTAACGCAAACGTTGAACGTACCGCGATACAGAGTTGTCATATGATGTCATATGATGACAGTTTAATCTCTCTAAATGGCTCCACTATGTCCAGAAAAGACCGAAGCAGTTCAAAGAGGAAGCAAGGTGGTGGTGTTGATCGTAAGCCCTTCATCATGTGTGTTTTACTTTAGCCCCTCCGAATCATCTCTCTTACCTTTTATTAACGCAACCATTCGTGATTCCCACATAAAATTGACTTACTATAAGTATATTATAGATAAAAATTTAGACTCAAACCAACATCTTGTAACTTTTTCAATTAAAAGTAAACATCAAAAACTTCTCACAAAGTTTCTAGAGTTTCATTTCCTATTTTTCCTATTTTAATGTCATAAAACAGTGTTGCATTTCAAATTTCGCTTGTCAGATATGATCACGCCTGTATAAACAGTATGTCAATCATGTATATGCTTAATTTATGTGAATGAAATATATTATTATCAACTCTCAATGGTCTGTGTGCCAACAACGCCTGCTTAAAATTCTCGAATGATAATGTTGACTGTATAATAATAATAATAATGTATATTCTCATATAAACATATAAATTTACATGAAAATGCATGCCATTTTTACAGGCACGATCAAGTATGATATAATATCAAATCGTAGATTGTCTACAAGTTAATAATGTTTCAACAGTTAAATATTTGATATATATATAAATACATATTGTCAGAACTGTCAAATGTCAAGCCAAACACCTACATAAATACAAATTCATTTATGTCATGAACATTTATGTCAGACCTTGTTGTAGCAATTCAGAACTACTATGCTTGCTGATGAATTCACTATTTTCGCTGCTGCCTCTTTTGGTAACCTATCGTCCATAGTGACAGTCAATTTTGATTCTTGTGACTGCAGTTTTCTTACAGTGCTAGGTCATGAAAATGTCGTTGACTTTCCCATCCGACTAGATATTTTGCTTGATCTTGTATTTATAAATGACTGCGGCATATATGAAGCTCGTAAAAGGTCCCACTATTTAGCTCCGATCATTGTGTTATACGGGTTTAACCTAAAATTTATGGAGAGTTACACAAGAGAACCCTTTCACTCCTGTCCAGAAAGGTTGTACACGGATGTTACTCTGAGTAGAATGTTCAGAATCTTAGAAGAATGCTCAAAGACTTGTTTAAATGAAGACTCTCTTGATCTCTAGTATTACATGTTATCCCAAATTTTGCCTTGACACTTGTTGTCGCAGATAAATACACACCACATTTGACCGTTTCTTCTCACCTCGACTTTGAAAGCCTGCAGGCAAAGGCTAAAGTTAGATAAAGTGAGGAATAACATTGGTTCGAAAAGAATTAACACCTTAATCAAGTCTGGACTGCAGAGGTTGGATTTAATTTACAACCAGAAGTTTATATCCCGTAAAAATGCTGCTAATATTATGGAAACTTTTCAAAGAGGTTACTGGTGGTAACCAAATGAATAGTATTCCTTATTCATATGATGTTTGTACACTAAACAAGGCTTTCATACATCCTCTCACAAATGCCAAGCTTTCTACTGCCACAAGTATTAATGAAACCTGCTTCACAGGTTTCTAAAATATCTCCAGTCGCTGAACCCTTCTTGGAGCCTAGGTCCAGATGGTTTACTCAGCACTGTCCTTTCTCCTTTTCTATTTTATTTCTTCTTGCATGACTTGCCTCACTCTGATGATGAAGTGAACTTTGCTAAGTATGCCGGCCATGTAACTGTTTTCAGGCCTGTTAACTTCTAGTTAGACTGTACTGAGATGAACCGCGAATGGTCTTCGTTTAATGGTCTTACAATAAATCCTTCCAGATATCAGACTGTTAATTTCAGTTTCCAATGTAAAATTGACGATAGTGGTTTAGAAATCAAGTTATACGTTAAATATCTTGGATTAATTCTTTCTGTTGACCTATCCTGGTCTTCCCATATCTTAGCGATTTCTAAATAAAATATTTCATCTGACGTTTTACACTAAGAAGTTTAGGCACTCAGGCATAACTCAACCCCTTCTCTTAGAGTTTGCCAACTCGCGCATTTTATCAATTCTTCTTTACTGTTCACTCTTATTCTTTCCTCGATAGCTTAAACAGACTATGTCATACTTTGTAGAGCTCTAAAGACTGTCAGTAAGGTGAGTGGTATCTCATTTGGCCATATTGTTGACACTGTCATTGATAGGCACTTGACGTCATGCAACAAATTCGCTAAAGGAATTTTGTCAGGCTGTGTGCATCCACTTTATCCCACAGCTCCAGCCTTGTATCTACCCAGGTAAAACAAGAAGTCTTTTCACAAGACTTTATGCACGTACATCTGAGTATAAAAATTCCACTATACCGTATTTGGCACGTACTTTGTGTGATGAAAATAGTGCTAGGCATGAATTAACTAACCCTCTTTGTACTATTAAATAAACCATTTCCTCCCCCCTTACAACATTAACCCTAATTGCCATTGTACTTATTGTATATATATATAATCCTCCCAACTTTTTGTTTTTATTTGTTTATTTTTTCATAAGTTTGAACATCATTTAAACTCTGTTATAAGTGCTAATTTTGTATTACTCCACACCACACTATACCAGCAGGACATTAGATTCAGTAATCTATAACATGACTATTCTAGCACAAACTATTCCAAGGACAACCGACATCTTCAGACTAGGAGTATACTGACCAGGTTTGTGAGATGTCGTAAAATACGCATTTGTAAATCTTCAGTGTCGGTTGAAGAAAGATGACTGGTATCTTTGGGGTCGGTTACTATAACGGGAGTATTCTACTTGTGGTCTTTGGATATTATAGGATCTTTTCCACAGACATTCAGTGGGTCTGAAAACCTCCCGATGGTTATGGAACGCTTCACATGATGGGTAGACGCGCAAAGACCGTAAATGATGCAGCGATTAGACACACAGTTATAGGCCAGGATTTACCAAAGGCTGTGATGATGAATTGTCATCCAGCTTTTGAAAGTGACGGCGAGGTATCAAGAAGGTGAGACCAACAAAGACCAAGGGTCTGAGGATAGTTGTCCCCAAGAGGGGGTGACCTGAAGACTGAGCTCCTACTGATTATATTAGTACACCGCGCTTCCATCCAAGAGATAAAAAAGAGGTCATCTCAGTTGCTCCATGTAAGTAATTCACGACTGTCAATACAAAGCAACATGTGGCCACACCACATACAGTGAAGCGGTAGCAGACGAAATGAGAAAAATCAAAGGTGTGAAACATAAACATAAGATCTATGCCTAGAATGGAGCAGAAAAGAGAAATGCAAAACCGTCGAAGTTGGAGAGAAAGTAAAGCTTAAAGAAAGAAAATGGATTGCTGGAGGCGGTTCAGGTTCATATAGACTACTTCTTACGTGAGGACAACGAAATACCAAGAGTCGTTCTTGTTTGTGCTATGGCAAAAGGAGAACGGAGACGTGTAAACGTCAAACTATGGGATCGATACAGCAGGAAAAAGTCCGTACGTTAAATGGCAAAGAGAAAAACTGAAAGGTCTTTGTTAAGCAACACAGAAAACATGAAGGGGAAGCGGGAGAAGCACAATATAGAAGACACGAGCAAATGGTGATTCTAAGCGCGGTATGTGCGTTTTGAACATTTGTGCATCAGTTTATCAATAAAAAATTCCGATACCAATCAAAACCATTTTTCGTTATTGCGGTTGCGCCAGAAATGCCAATGGAAAGTACATAATTCCACATATGGGTAAGCAAAAAATATGTCAGCTAATAAAACGCTCAACTTAATGACATGAAGATATTTACATTTACATCTGTGTAAACCAAAACCCATGTGGTTCGTCCTAACTTCAGCAAAAAGTCTGATGGAACCAAGCAAGTACGATGAAGCTGAGTTACAATATTCTTTACAGTTTGCCAGGCTGCTGAGTCCCGCATAGCTGAATATTGTGTTACGACAGTTCCCGAACACGATTCAGTGTGATGAAATCTGTGGTACCGCTTAACAATATTGAGGGGACAGAAGTTCAAGATTACAACAGCGATTCCATCAGGCAACCAAATAACACAAGGATACGCAGGTTTCAGACGGACAAAACCGCAGCGCCACTCCCAGCAACATTCCGAACGTAATGGAAGCTGGACCAACGACCACCTGAATTTACATGAGTGACTAAGGAATTAAAACACCATCAAGAGTAATGACCATTCATAACATGTAATGTAACAGAAATTGCTGTTATTTATTCCGGTGACAGGTTATATCTGATTCCAGCCGAATACAGAGACTAGGTCATTCCAAACATAGTGTTCGCATTGACATCACTGCTAGCGAAAAGAGGCACTTATCAGGCTAACTAGAATTCGTGCATTGAGGAGTGTTTGGTATAACAAGTCAGTTGGATCGACGAAGATTCCTACCCAGATTTGATTGTGTTCGTGCGACGGAAAAATATCTGTTATGTTAAACGAATTACCACGCATTAATCTTCCATTTGCCTGAAACACAAACCACCGAAACTGATATGCCTAGCAACGTTCCGCAGTCTGATCACATGACATGGACGCCAACATGGGGTGCCAGAACATGAGAGTTCCCACCACTACATACAACATATATTACAATTTTACTAAAAATTATTCACGAAAAGAATTTACCAAGAGTGGCGTAGAAGTGCAACCCGTGTTACAGCGTTTGACAGAATGGATCTCTTTATTCTTCTAGCCAGGCGTCTTTGAGAAGAAACCAGGTGTTTGAAGTTAATTAATACTTAATATTTCACAAGCACATACATGGAAATTTATGAAATTCAACGCTTCAGTGATTTTACACAATGAAGAACTGATTGTGTTTTAACACATGTGGCTTCCCTCATCCCCGCGGTTACTTTAAGGGGTTGGTTACGTTAGTGATGGGTCGCAAGAAGAGGAAGCAGTTGAAACCGTGGTGCTGGTACGACAGATATATATTATAAAGTAATCTCTAGGTACTGTAATCGGGAGTTTGATGATGAGAAAATCTTGATTCAGCATCAAAAGGCGAAGCACTTCAAGTGCCCGTACTGTCACAGAAAACTTTTTACTGGGCCAGGTCTGTCAATTCACTGCAATCAGGTAAGTCTCGCTCCAGTCAGGCGCTAACGATCTCAAGGTTCATAAAGAGAAGTTGGACAAAATTCCAAATGCTCTTCCGAACCGGACGAGTACTGTCATCGACATCTACGGCATGTCTGGTATACCCGAGGTGGATATCATAGAGCATGAAAGACAGAAGTTCGGCTATGAAGGTGATGAAGAACCACCCGAAAAAATGGCTAAGGAAGATGAAAGTGTGCCGTTCTATCCACCGCCACCAATACATCCCCCACTTCCATTCATGTCAAATCTCTGTCCCCCTGCTCCCCCATTCAGTCACATAGGAAGTAAGTAACTGTTATATTGTCACTCATATATTTAGTGCACGGTGTCCCTCTTCCTCCGCTTATGAAGTAAGTTCTTTTTGCAGTAATTTATTTTCAGCCCAATATCCTACGTACCCCCGCCGCCACCACCTCCACCTCCAGTCCCACCTCCTCAACCAGCGACTCCAAAAGAGGAACAGGTATTATCATTTATCTCACTTTATTGTTTAGTCTCCTCCGACATCCCCTAAAGCCACTTTCCCGGCGTATTCATCTCCATCAAATAATGCAAAGACACCTGTATCCAAAGTGCAAAAACCAGCCCCTGGAACAAATGGAGCTGTGGTAGAGTTGGTTCATCCTGAAGATGACTTGTCTCTTGTAAGTTTATTTAACATTACATCCATTTTTTTCAGGAAGAAATTAGGGCCGAACTACCGAAATACAAACTCATTTTAGAAAATGCAACTAAAAATCCAGCACCACCAACATCAGTAGCTCTAACGCCTGCGCTACCTGCTGCTCCCTTTATACCTTCACAGCCACAAGTTGTATACCCTCCAATCGCCCCTCCAGTTTCTACGCAAATCCCGTTCAACTACAATCCTGGATTTATCCCACCAGGTAGGTTTATCTCTACTAATCAGTGTAATTTTACAAAACACCCTAAATTGTTTGAGAGACAAGTGGTAAATTGAGACTTTAAGAGAATAGTTTAGCTGGTTCATAGATCTAGCGTTCTCTATCACGGCAATTCGTGATCATCAAGGGAGTTTGAATCGTAAAACCAAAACGGGATAAACCCAAAGCTCCCGAAGTGGTCAGACGTTAATCAAGTCGTGTTGCTGGCTGGAAGTGTGGGAGTGTGCCGTTAAAATTGGTGGGCATATCGTTATTTTTGTATATATAGACGCATGCTTAAAATATCCGGGCATCAGTCCGTAACAAAGTGTTTATCATACTGGATGCCAACGTGTTCTGTGACCTCAAGAAACCCAGATTTCACAGTAAGTTAGTGTCGTAGTGTTGTGACCCATCTAATGCGTTCGTATCATGTAGTAAGGCATCCGGAAGATGCTATCGTGGGTGGCTCATACCAGCTTAAAAATAACATAGATTGATGGCCGTATTCGATAGCAAAACACCTCTTTACTTATTGATGATTTGCAGCTGTCAAAGGGAACTACCTGCAATCCCCACACTATTTAATAGCATAGCTAACTCATAACCCCTGTCATGCTGTCTGGTTCGCCGCTCTGCCTGTTCTAGATTAGAGGCAGTGGAATGGCCATCATCCATAAGTCACTCAGGTAGGTGTTAGACGCCGGACTCAGTTGAAGTGACTTTATCGGTCGAACAGTTCCTCATAGAGTTCGCTTGCCGTTTCTTTTTTTGATAATTAATCGACCGAAGTTGTCCGTTGTATTCTTCCACTGATGACTTACGTGTCTTTTAGTGGTCACTGTCTTCACAGAGATTTCAAGCAGCTTTCTTTAGATCAGTTTTCACCTCTCGTTGTGTTCAAAGCTTTCGGAATCAATCCTGCATCTATCGATTGCGACATGTAAAGGGGATGCTCATAAGCGCAAAGTCACGTATCTGTTTTTTTGCCTGAGTGAGTATCACGTCAAGCACATGCCTGTGTAAAGTACAATTTGGTAACTCTGGACACCTATCATAAAGTGCCTGGTGAAGAAGAGGGTGTTTTCCCTGAGCTCGTAAAATCTAAACCACTGTTTTCTTGTTTCGTGTTTTTCTGGTAAAATAACAGCTGGTGCCATATCGAGAATTATTTGATCTTGATAATTGACTTCAAATTGAAAAGTCTGTCACGTTGCGTTAAGTGAAGAAAAAACTTACTCATTCTTTTTGTTTCTACGGGGAAATATGTTCACAAACTTGAAATTTATTTCGGGTTTCTGTCACCTTTGCAGTATGCAATCGTATTACACTCGATTATATCATTGTACCCCGAATGCTTGTAATAGGCTCCAAGAAATGTTGCTGGTTCTTGACAGTAGTGAAACCCACTATTTTTTACTACCTGTAGTGAAAAAGGGCAGGTTTGGTGAGCCGACTTTCCGACCGACAAATAAGTTTCTACCCTGTGGAAGTTTCTCAGCAATATGTGCGTCGGTGGAACAGTGGTTAGGACTCTCGCCGACCATGCACATGGTCCGAGGTTCGAACAACTGACGCACATCTGATATCTAAGGTTGGCCTGCGAAATTTGGGCTACCGATATCCATGCTCAAAAATTTCACACTTGTACCAAAAATGCTGTGTGGAATCAAGCTGTAAACCAAAAAAAAGTTCGCAGACATATGCAAAGTGGGTGAGGAGACAGTGGCTGAAATAGTCGGTTTATTGTCAAAAAAACACCAAGTCCCTCTCATATTTTTTAGATATAGTGTGAAATATTCCCATATCCATAAAATTGAAAGTCAGTCGGAACGAATATTCTTTTCAATAATTTCTCTTCAGGCTTTTACAATTACAAAATATAATATTTTTTTTCGTTACAATAAAGGCCAGTTATGCGGCGGATAAATGGCCAAACTTGGATCGATGATTCTTCTCACCAAGAGTGCTTCTTCCCGTTAACCCTCTTGGTTTTTTTGTTATCCTTTGCTTATTATTACAAATATTATCGTTACAATTATTATTTATATTGATATTATTATTCGTCATAATTATGCCTTTCATGAAAACATTCCCCCAATTCTATCGAATCTTTTATTTATTATTAGTGATATCTATTTTCTCAATATACGCCTCCACTTGTTTCATTTCACATATTCGTTATTTCATTATGAACCTCTCATTGCAGTCTTACTATCTCCTGGTAAACACAAACCACTTTGTACAAGCCACCCACCTAACACTTTTTATAACCTTGAATTGACTTGTCAGTTTTCCTACCCCACACTCTACAAATCTATTATGATTAATCGCCACCGCTATCTCCCGATTTACAATATTCTGTAATCGATTTCAGCCTAGCACGTTTGTCACACAAATACGACTATTTATTTTGACACCCCATAACTAATCTGTTGTACGTTAAAAAAATGTATCCGTCGCATAACTGGCTTTTATTTTAACGAAAACAAATGTTATATATTATAATTGTAATAACCTGAAGAAAAATTATTGAGTAGAATATTATTCGTTCAAATTGACTTTTAATTTATAGTGCATTTGTTGTTTAGAAATTCACAGTCCTGATTTTAAAGAATTTTCTCTGCTTGATTTCAGCATTCGGCATGCCCACAATGCAGTCGCAGATGGCACCAACACCAGCTCAACTTTCTCCGTGGTCAGGAATACCTCAGTTGCGGTTTTAATGCAAGTCATTCGTGCGTATGTTTATGCAATACTTCCGATCTCAATTTTTAAATGACTCGTAGATCATGTGTTGTACATTTAACTTTCACAATGTTTATGGTGAACAAACTTACTTAGCGTCTCTTGTTTTCTTTTGAAGTATTCTGGAAACAATGTAAGTCAAATTAATGAAGTATGTCTGCTGGAAGGTGTTTGTATGTGACTCAAAGAAAATATAATACTACTTCAGTGGAAAATTCTTTTATGGACAGCAAGGTGAGATTCAATTTAACTATTAAACATAGAAACGTATATAGATGGTAGGATCTCTGCTCACTACCTTATATGTTGCATAATCAAGCACGTAGCACAAACGGATTTTAGAAGCCGCAATGCCACTGTCTTGACGCCAAGGTAGGTTTTAATAATTATAAAGTATAGGGGTAAGTAGAATTGTTTTATTTCATTGTCATGTGGTGGGTAAAATAAGTCCCTCCAAGAAAACAGTTTCGTTGCAGTGCATCTGCAGAAGGCTGAATTTTAGTGCCTTACGAGACCAAAACACTAGTAGTTTTTGTATCAACGTGCAGCTTCAGAACTAATTCACATCTTAAGACTTCGTAGAACGTGCGGTGTTGAGTGAGTGGTTGAGGTAACCTATTGTGATGACACGATATGTTCGCACGGCGATTCAACATTTCGTGGTAACCTTGGAAATAATATATCCAGTGAGACTCATACATTACCATAGCTCCTAGGATTCTTACTCATATGTTGACAAAAATGAGGGCTAATTCCGTTTCAGTAACCAGTTTTGGCAGCTGTAACGCTTTCTATCTTCATTCGCTTGAAATGAATGAGCTATGGGAATAGTTCAATGGAAAAATGTATATTGGATCATTTGGAAAGTTGTTATTTATGTGCACTAAAGTGAAGCAAATATTGGTTAGTGTGTGCATAATGAGTGACAGACTATTTTAGTTTCTGTTATCTAATATCTTAGCACGAAGGAAAAGCATTGCTTCATATGTGGAAGTTTAAATTATAGTAATAATGAAGATATAGTAGTATAAAGAATATCAACTAAAATTGGGAAAATTCCTCAGAAGTTCGGGATCATTCAAACCTAGATGGCCAAGGTAAGATTGATGTCTGAACTAAGATTCTCTTACGTTTTGAGATCGCTATATACCGTGAACCTTCCAGCGATCATTTTATACTGGAATAGTGTCAGATTCTTAAGGGCAAGTTAAAAGTCGTTCATCATTTGTTAGGTTAAGTTTTGTGAAATGTCATATGCGTTTCTGTTGAGTTGATTCATTTCTTCCCCAAATGTGCTTCCAATGAAGTCGCGACTATTCAGATAAAGAGCACAAATTTTCTCCCTTGTTTTGCTAAGATATGATTTTAGGTGTTCAAATATTATCTTGCATTTCCAAACGCTTTTTCCCTCAGTGTCTTTAAATGTGAGACCAAACTGAAGTCGTGTAGTAAGTCGACTGTTGCAAGCTTCACAGTAAACGATCGCATGAATTTCATGTAAAATCTTTTGTATAACTGTTGTGTTGGATGTGATAAATCCTTTGTACATTTTGCAACAATACAAATGCGAATATAAAGCTGTCTTTTGCTAGCTTGATTTGGCGAAACAAGCAACCGAATGTTGCTGCTTATGATTTGGATTTCTGAGTTATAACTGTATGGTGGTCGGTTAATAATGTAGATTATCAAGATGAGGCTACACTGATGGCTGTTACACCGTCCTGCGTTTCATTACAGCATTCAATTTAAGCCAAACAACTCACCCGTTGTTTTCATCAGGCAGCATTATCAATGAATGATTGACGCCATCAGTCTCAATTGAACAGTTCAGGTAGGTTGCATAGTGTTAAGTACATTAGTTATTCACGCTTCCCTAGTGATAGCGTCTGAATATTACTTCATAGTGCGGATTGCGTAGATTCAAATGATAGTTGTAGAGAAATTGAGAGTTGAATTTTTTCTAAGGTGAGTCGGCTGTAGGATATAAATGGCCTAAGAGTTAGGTATTATGCTTCTCATCCTACCCCATTAGTATGTATTTTCATAGTTGTTTACCGTGGATCCCAGCGGACAGTTGCGTGGTTTTCGCCTGCCTGTTCAACACACTTTGAAGTACTCGTTGGTAACGCTGTATAGGGTAAATATCATTCTGTTTGCTGAATGTTACTCCTCATGCATTTGGCATGAGAAGTAGGTACTCTGCAGTAACCGGTGTTGTTGCAGTTTAGATGGTGCTGGTTATCTGTTTTAGGGCCTTACAAACCATGCAACTTAACACTCATGAGCATGTTAAGAAGTTTCCGAGAGCTTTAGTAATCATCCTAACCTGATTATTCATTTCTGTATGGAAATTAATAGTAATATGAGAACCCCGTGTATCCCCATTCGTTAAAGGACTACGACAACGGCTCTGATTAGAAGAGTGAAGCAACAAAATAATAATAAGTAACAAAAGTAATAATGAATAGTTGGATTTGCCTTATATTTTTACCTAAAAAGAATTAGCACGTACAAGCGTGTTATCCTGGACTCTGAGGAAGTTGGATGCTATGGATTGTTTTGTTATGTGTATCTACAAGGTTCTGGAAGGTTTGCAGTACATCATCAGATTCTTCTAGGTCGAAGGTGTAAAATTTTGGCAAATAGGATTGATTCTCCACCTTGTTCTGGTACCGGGCCAGTAAAAACTCTGATTCTAGTAGATGTATTTTCCCAGGTACTATTATGCAGTGTGGTGGACCACCAAAAATAACTTCAGGGTTGTTCAAGTTCGCTTGAGCCTTGTATACATCGCTTATTCTTGAGACGATAATTTTTTGATCATCGGATCCTATTCGTGAAAGACTGATGACGACGCAAGATGCTACTAATGAATTTGATCCATCCAACAAATCATCAGTTTTATTGTTGAGAGCTTCTACTATTTGATACACAGCTTCGCAACAGGTCATGAAGCGTGGAGGTTCAAATATGTTTCGATCACGCAGAATGTTCTCCAGAGATCTTTCTTTGACCTGGAAAATAGGAAAAAATTGTTCACCATAAATTCTTGCATATTTAAGGTTTAATTTAATAATTAGGGTATCATACTTTCACAATTAGGGATACTCTTTAATCACATGGGGATTACTAATGCTAGAAACGAAGTTATTAAATAGGTTGCTATCGCCAGCACTTAGTACCTAGAACGTTTTATGTAGCAGGTTATAAGTCACATGTTATGCATGTGACTTTGTTATGCCCGACCGAAAGCTGCCACCCCTTTCATCAAACCAACGCTGGACACAAATAGACCACATAGCAATAAGCTATCGTTGGCGTGGGTCGGTAGGAGATTGTCGCTCCTTCTGGAACACGTGTGTAGATACCGATCACGCACTGATCCGCGCTCGGGTGTGCTTACGACTGAACGGACGTAGGAAACAGCTGGCGGTAAACCCATCACGTCCCCAGCTCGATCAGGAAACTAAATCCGTATTTGAGGAAGAACTAGCTAAACACATATCTGAGTTCGACAGCTGTGTCCACCCTGAAGAAGCTTGGAAGAATATTCAGTCAGCCATAGGTACAGCTATTAAAGCTGTGAAGAAGGTAAATCCAAAGGTGAGTAAAAACCATTGGATTTCGACTGCCTCATCCAAATTGGTAGATGCTAGAGGACTTATTCCGACGGCTCCGAAATCAATGTGGAGCGAAAGCTGCACAAAAGAAAACTTGCGAAAATTCTCCGCAAGGACCGTGAACAGTGGTGGGTGACAAAGGCGAAAGAGATGGAAAAAGCATCGGCGATAGGCAATTCCTTAGACTACTCAGCGAAACGGGGAGAAGGCAAATCATAAGTGAGACTATTTCTGAGAAAAATGGCTCCTTAATTAGCTCTCAGAATGTCTGTCTGGATTTAACATAGAACTTGGCACCGAAGTGCAGCAGTTCGAGTTGCCACGTTCCAAATAGCACACAAAGGTAGACAAGAAGATGAGTTAAGAGAATCAATACAGTCTGACAAGTATAAGAGTGAAACAGAATGGGTAATGGTAGAAAGGAATATGAAAGATTACAGAGACTGAATACATCTGCGCCATTGACAACGATTTTGAGCCATGTCACCCATTGTCTCCAGCTATTGATTCCTAGAGTCCCGAGGACTCCAACCCGGAAGTCTGCATCTCCCTACCTGACTTAGTTTAACTGTCAAGGATTTCATGGATTGATGTCATGTTCTTGTTTGGCCAACAGGATAGACGCGTTGAACGCTGGAAAGGACACTTTGAGGGACAATTTAGCTTGCCTACTGCCACACTGAACCTCCACGACATCCAGAAAACACCCGAATGGGATATAGACACTGGTCCGCCGTCTGTAGGTGAGGTTACAAAAGCTATCAGTAATTTGAAACGAGGCAAAGCGGCAGGACCCGACGGAATTATTCCGGAGGTGTTTAAATATGGGGGTGACATACTAGTATGTAGATTAACTGAGGTACTAGGCAAAGTCTGGGAATCAGAGACAGTTCCATCAGACTGGGGTAAGTCAGTTATTATACCGATATTCAAGAAGGGAAACAAGTCCTCGTGTGATAATCATAAGGAGATCCGCCTAACCAACATAGTTTCTAAAATTCTAGGCTCAGTAATCATGCACAGACTAAGCAGAACTCGGGAGGAACAGACGAGGGAAAATCAAGCAGGCTTTAGACCAGGTAGAGTGTGCATAGATCATACCTTTATTTTTTTTATTTTGATTTACAGTTTGATTCCACACTGTATTTTTGGTACAAGTATGGAACTTTCAGCATGGATACCGGTAGCCCAAATTTTGCAGGCCGACCACCATAGATATACGATGCGTAGAACCTCAGTTAGTGCAAATAGTAAACTGTCTTCACCGTACTTAAATACTTCTGAAGTCATTCCATCTTCACTCTCCGACAGATTCTAGAACACAGACACACTTTTCGGCATCCAACAATTGCCATATTTCTAGACTTGAAGGCGGCCTTCGACTCCGTGGATCGAAAGGTACTATGGCAATGTCTGACTGTGAAGGGAGTGCCAAGAAAGTACATTGCACTAATCAAGGCACTCTATTCAAACTCACGTAGTCGTGTAAGGGCTTATGGGGAATTGTCATCTGAATTGGTAACAACCAGTGGTGTCCGACAGGGATGTCCACTTTCCCCATTTCTGTTTAACTTCATCATAGATATGCTGATGGAAGTATCCTTAACTGAACGTAATGACTTAGGAATCAACTTGTTACCAGGGGATAGTCTTATGGACTTAGAATATTCAGATGACATAGTCCTGTTAGGGGAGGATGCTGACAAAATCCAGCAGAGTCTTCTGAACACCTTGAGCAACAATCTTCGTATGTTTGGCATGCGATTCGCCCCTGGAAAATGTATGCTGCTACAGGACTGAACTACGTCAACTCCTAGCTTAGTGATAGGGAGTGAAGTGATAGAACATGTTGACCACTTCACCTATTTGGGAAGTTGTATCAGCACCAGCCCTATGTTCCTCTAGGAACTAAAGGATACAATAATAATAAATAATAATAATCAGCACCAACGGACTGATTGGCGACGAAATCTCAGCACGGATCCGAAAAGCTCGAGCTGCTTTCGCTGACTTACACCATCTCTGGCGTAGGCGTGACATCCGGCTATCAACCAAGGGACGTGTGTACTGCTCATCAGTTCGCTCCGTCCTTCTCTATGGCTCTGAAACATGGCCAATACGAGTTGAAGACATGAAAAGGTTGACTGCTGTCGATCATAGATCTCTGCGATCTCTTTCTCACTTTAAGTGGTATAATAAGGTAAGTAATGTTGACGTTAGGCGTAGTGTTGGGCAAAGAGGGAAAATCAATCGACGAGGCTATAAAGTTACATAGATTGAGATGGCTAGGTCACGTGCTGCGCATGCCTGCCCAACCATCGCCTCTCCCGACGGGCATTACTAGCTGATATAGATGCAGGTTGGAAAAGAGTAAATGGTGGCCAAACAAAAACATGGCCTCATCAATCCATGAAATCCTTGACAGTTAAACTAAGTCAGGTAGGGAGATGCAGACTTCCGGGTTGGAGTCCTCGGGACTCTAGGAATCAATGGCTGGAGACAATAGGTGACATGGCTCAAAATCGTTGTCAATGGCGCAGATGTATTCAGTCTCTGTAATCTTTCATATTCCTTTCTACCATTACCCATTCTGTTTCACTCTTATACTTGTCAGACTGTATTGATTCTCTTAACTCATCTTCTTGTCTACCTTTGTGTGCTATTTGGAACGTGGCAACTCGAACTGCTGCACTTCGGTGCCAAGTTCTATATTGAATCTAGACAGACATCTTATGCGGGCTGATTACAGAATCTACCCAAGCAGAAGTGGAGACGGCTTGAAAACCACTCCCGATAATTTACACAGGTGGTTGAGCCAATAAGTAACACCTGCGCTTTAACTGGTTGTACACTCTAGCTGATTTTGCTATTCAGATATGAGCTGATGATTTAGGTTGGGTTTTCAACCTTTACTTATCAAAAAAACAGCTTTAATGTTATTGATTGTATGCGAGGCAGTAAGATATGGGCCTCTGGAATGATTGGTACTACCAGCAAAAACGGTGACTATAGTCGTTTTAGTGGGAAGTAGTGAGGCAAATTAGTCACTCAGATATCTTAGATTTAGGAGAAATTTCAATGAATTCTGATTCTGATGTATCATGATACACTATGCAGGCTATAAGATATACTACGATATTTAATTTAAGCAGTACGTAGATATAGCGAGACGGTATCACACCACAGTTTCTATAAAATTGTCTCAAAACTTGCATGCTTGAAGATGATAAAGTGTTTTACCCCTCAAAAACTGTCAGATAATGTATGATGTATTGATCATATCTCCACCCTTCGATAGATTTTGGAACATAGGCATACTTATCGTCGGCGTCCAACAATCGTTATATTTTTATTTGACACTAGTAACTAGTGTGATGTGACTAGGCCTATCTTTGGTGCAGACTGAATTCTATCCAAGTCTGTCCATCTGTTTTTGACACAGAACTTTGCACATATGTGCGACAGCTCAAGTCACTACACTCCATGTGGCACACAAAGCAAGAGAAGAAGATAGAAGAATGCATAATAGGGACAAAAAGCAGGTGTACGAGATAGGAATAGTGATAACGAAAAACAAAACAGTTTCACTGGAAACCATAGGTCACAAGGAGTGGATGCATCTGCACCAGCCATTGAGAACGATTTTGAGCCATGTCACCAATAGTTACCAACCATTGGTTTTTACCGTCCTGAGGACCCGAACCAGGAAGCCAGTCTACACCTTCCTACGTGGCTTAGACTAACTGCTGTAGATTTCATTGACTGGTGCCATGTTTTGGTTTGACTGCCGCTAGCTTTTTTCCAGCCTGACCCTATATGTTTGTCTGTTTTCGACATAGAACTTTGCACAAATGTGCGGCAGTTCAAGTTGCCACACTCCGTTAAGCACGCGAAACAGCTGTCGAACTCAGATATGTGTTTAGCTAGTTCTTCCTCAAATACGGATTTAGTTTCCTGATCGAGCTGGGGACGTGATGGGTTTACCGCCAGCTGTTTCCTACGTCCGTTCAGTCGTAAGCACACCCGAGCGCGGATCAGTGCGTGATCGGTATCTACACACGTGTTCCAGAAGGAGCGACAATCTCCTACCGACCCACGCCAACGATAGCTTATTGCTATGTGGTCTATTTGTGTCCAGCGTTGGTTTGATGAAGGGGGTCTCCAAGTCAAACAGTGTCTCTCCTTGTGTTTGAAGTTAGTGCTCACAAGAAACAAATGATTATCAGAGCAGAACTGTAGGAGACGGTCACCGTTGTCGGTTCGCTGGCACGGAACTCCATAGGTGCCACTGACATCCTTCTCAGATTGACACGATTTCCCTACTTGAGCGTTAAAGTCACCAGCTAGAACGACTATGTCTGAGCGTTTAGCCTTTCGCACCAAACTAGACAGCTTTTGGTAGAACTCATCCTTCGTTTCATCCGAACTGCAGTCGATGGGGGCGTAGGCGGAGATTACGAAAAGGTATTGCCGAGTAGTGCAATCCTTTCTCCTTTTTACTGACCCGTTCAGACGGACAGCACACATCCGGCTATCTACCGGGATCCAGTCAAGCAGTGTCTTTTCTGCCCTAGTACTCAAAGCTATCCCTACGCCAGCTAATCCTCGTGAACTAGCTGTGGCATCTCCTGACACCCTCAAGGTGAATTTTGCAGATTCAACCTGTTGGCCAGGTGGGGTTAGGTGGATAACCACACTTGGGTCTTGTATGCGTGTTTCTGAAACACAGCATACATCAATGGCTCGTGATACCAGGGTCTTGGCTGGTGATGCTTGTTGTCCTATTTGGCAAAGTGTCCTAACATTAAATGCTGCTATATGAAATTGGTGGCGCGGCTTTAAGAGGCTATCGGTGGTGGTTTTTTGGCTTCCGTCGTTTTTAGTGGAGAGGAAGTGGAGAGCCATCAAGTCGAAGAGTTGCATCAGTGGAAGGAAGGCAAGATGATATAGATGAAGATGAAAACAAAGATGAGTGAGTAATAGAGAGGTTCCGCGTGCGTTTCAGATTGTGAGGGCGATTGTTACTTCCCGGCTGCCCACACCGTGGAAGCCTGACCCTATATCCGCTAACATTGCCAATTGTCGAGGAAGGCGATGTCTAGGCATACGTAACACATGTCCTGACCATCTCAGTCTATGTAACTTTATAACTTCGTCAACTGATTTCCCCTGTTTATTTAGAACTCGACGCCTAACCTCAGCATTGCTCACCTTACTATGCCACTTCACACGGGAGATAGAAAGCAGGCACCTATGATCAAAGCCAGCTAATCTTTTCATGTTTTACACTCTCAGTGGCGAGGTCTCACTGACAGCCATAAAGGAGGACGGAGCGGACTGATGACCAGTACACACGCCATTTGGTCGATAGTCGAATATCTCGTCTACGCCAGAGTCGGCGTAAACTGGCAAATGCGAAACGAGCCCCCTGCATCCGTGCTGATATTTCGTCAGAGATCAACCCGTTGGCGTTGGCTGATGATACTTCCCAAATAAGTGAAGCGGTCAACGTGTTCTACCACTTCACTTCCTATTTTCAAACTAGGCGTCGATGTAGTCCAGTCCTGTAACATCATCTTGCATTTGGCGGGAGCGAATCGCATGCCAAACATTCGTAGATTGCAGCTCAGGGTGTTTAGAAGACTCTGCATTTTGTCAGCGTCTTCGCCTAGAAGGACTATATCGCCTGCATAATCTAAGTCAACAAGATTATTCCCTGGTAGCAAGTCAATCCCTGCGTCGCGGAAGTCACTTAGGATTAAGTCCATTAGTACATCTATGATGAAATTGAATAGAAATAGGGACAGTGGGCACCCTTGTCGGACACCACTAGTTGTCACCAGTTCAGATGATGACTCGCCGTAAGCTCTCACCTGGCTGGCTGCATGAGTTTGAGTAGACTGCCTTGATCAGTGCAATGTATTTTCTCGGTATTCCTTTCACAGATAAACACCACCATATTACCTCTCGGCCGACAGAATCGAATGTCGCCTTTAGGTCAAGAAATATAATGATTGTTGGATGCCGGTAGGAATGACTATGTTCTAGAATTTGTCGAGTTGTGAAGATATGATCAATACACCCTCTTCCTGGCCTAAAGCCTGTCTGGCTCTCTCGTGTTCGTGCCTCCCGAGCACCACTTAGTCTACGCATGATTATTGAGCCTAGGACTTTAGATACAACCTTATTAGTCAAGCTAATCCCTCTGTGATTATCACAGGAAGACTTGTTTCCATTTTGTATATCGGGATGATCGATGACTTACACCAACCCGATAGGACTTCCTCTGATTCCCAGACGCTGCGTAGAACCTCAGTTAATGCAGACAGTAAACTGTCTCCACCGTACTTAAATACCTCTGGAGTCATTCCATCAGGTCCCGCTGCTTTGCCTTGTTTCAGATTGGTGACAGCTTTAGTAAATTCAGTTAGGGACGGAGGACCTGTGTCTATATCCCATTCGGGGAGGTGTTGGATGTTCGGCAGGTTGAGCGTGGCTGTGGGCCAATTAAACTGCTCCTCATAATGCTCTTTCCAGCGTTCCAGTCGTCTATCCTGGGAGCTAATTATGGTGCCATTTTTCTCCAAGATTGTCTCACTTATCATTTTCCTTCTCCCACCCGTTTCCCTGATGAATCTAAAGAGTTGCGTAGTGTTGTCTATCCAAGGCTTCCTGCCGATCGCCTCCAACCATCTAAATGTTATATTTCTTGACCTAAAGGCGACATTCGATTCTGTCGGCCGAGAGGTAATATGGTGGTGTTTATCTGTGAAAGGAATACCGAGAAAATACATTGCACTGATCAAGGCAGTCTACTCAAACTCATGCAGCCAGCCAGGTGAGAGCTTACGGCGAGTCATCATCTGAACTGGTGACAACTAGTGGTGTCCGACAAGGGTGCCCACTGTCCCTATTTCTATTCAATTTCATCATAGATGTACTAATGGACTTAATCCTAAGTGACTTCCGCGACGCAGGGATTGACTTGCTACCAGGGAATAATCTTGTTGACTTAGATTATGCAGGCGATATAGTCCTTCTAGGCGAAGACGCTGACAAAATGCAGAGTCTTCTAAACACCCTGAGCTGCAATCTACGAATGTTTGGCATGCGATTCGCTCCCGCCAAATGCAAGATGATGTTACAGGACTGAACTACGTGGACTTTTACTTGGCTTAAAGAAAAGCAAGAGTGAAATGATATAGCCTATTGTTGATGGTTCCACTTATTTGAGAAATTGTATCAGTCTCAGCGCGTTGGTCGCTGACTAAATCTTAGAACGGATACAACACTCTCCTTTGGCATATACCAACTTACACCATCTCTGGCTTAGTAGGTGTTATATCAGGCTGGCTAGCTGTCGACTGAAGGAAGTTTGCACTGCTCAGGAGTCCGCTGTGTTCTCCTTTATAACTATGAGACGTGGCCATTGAAAGTGGAAGATACGAAAGGGCTATCTGTCTTCCAGTCTTTTCTCTTGCTTTGTGTGCTACATTGAGTGTGGCGAATTGAACTGCTGTACATCGGTGCAGAGTTCTTTGCTGAAAACAGAGAGACAGATCTGTCTTTGATCATATAGGTGCCTGCGCTCTACCTCCCGTGCGAAATGGTATAATAAGGTGAGCAATATTGAGGTTAGGCCTCCATCGAGTCCCAGGTAAGCAGGGCAAATCAATCGACGAGGCTGTGAAGCACCTGAATCGGTTGTGATGGTTAGGACATGTGCTATGTCAGTGCAAAGTTCTATGTTGAAACTAGTCAGTCACAGCTTTTAGTGACCTATGCAGTATAACAGTCTTAAGTAGTCCAGGAAAGATTAAAGCAGGGGGCAATAAAGAAGGATAGGCAGAATACAGGAATTAACAAACTTGGAAACTAGAGACTGAGTGATGTCAAATACTCTTAACTTTCTTACGCAGGACGTCAGAGGAAATATCTCTCTGGAGAACTAACGTGATGTGGGGAGACCAGGAAAGATAAGAGGATATAAATAGTCCAAGGTATTTAAAATTCAACTTTGTTCCAACTTCAGTGCCATCTATGATAGTGGAACCATGTGAACTAACCAGTTTACATGAACAGAGAATATTCTTTTAGATCTCTTCATCAGGTTGTACATATATATATCCACAGTAGCTGAGGAATAATTGTTACTGGCAAGTCAGTGTAACAGTACTGGTTGGGTGTGTTTCTTTTGCTCACAACCTTACGGTTGTCGTAAGCGAATTGCTACTCATGTTTAGAGTATGCGAAGTCTACAGAAGCTTGACAACTTACCTAGTAATTGATAGATGATAGAAAGAGATTTTTCCATAATTATTATTCTGCCGAAGAAGTTGTAGAAGAAATTATGCTGTTATTCAACAATTCCAACGTTACCGAAAAATATTTCCAAAGCTACTGAATATTGGCTAAATGAAGAGATTAAACACTGGATGCGTCACCTGCTTTACTTTCACCAACGTGGATACTGTTTAGACACAAGAATATACAATGTTATGATTGAACACCCCGAACAACACCAACTCTCAGTTCAACTTGAGATACTAGTGTGGGAAAACTCATTGATCCAGTAAACCCTAAATACTACAAAATACGACTGATGTGAGGTTTTTATGTCATTTGTGTATCCCACACTTTTGTTTCTGAAAAGAACAGGACTGAGCGCTTTTAACAGGGGATAGTAAATTTTGTCTCAATTACTTCGATATATATCAATATTTGATTTCTGTGTAGCAGGGAGATGAAGATAGGAACTTATGTTTTATTTAGGAAAGGTATTGCGCTTATTTACACTTAAACAATATTACCATAAAGACTGCATTGCAAAACGCTACTGGGATATATCAGACTGAGTTATACACTGATAAGAATAACCTAAAGAGCATAGAAACATTATACACAATATGGTAAACACCTGACAGTAAATGCTACATATAAACACAAATCATCTTGGCCATATTACCTTTATATCCAGCAAACACAAAGTATGGAATCCATTCCTCATATTTTTCAGTATCTTGTCAACAAAACTCTCTGGACGCCCAAATTCATCCCATAAAGGAATTGATACAGTAATACCAAAATTGTACAGGTGCAGACCACAGCATCCCACTGCTGTTATAACTGAGGCATTATGAATTATTTGGTAGGGAATACTCCTTTCAACAGCTCGCAATATAATGTCTAAACAATATTAACTTCTTTTACACTAACCACTATGAGTAGTTGCTCCCAAAGGGTCACCTATAACTAGGAATGCAACGTCATACTCCTTCGCTCGATCAAGGATTTCACTACTTTGTTCTACAAATTCTCGATCGGCTGGGAATATACACTTCTCAGTTATTTTTAGTTCATTGATATTTTCTTCAGAGAATATAGAAGTGTAACTATCAAGATACACATAGTCACACTTTTTGAGTACATCCAAACCTTTGATCGTCAAATCTGAAAATGAGCCTAACCCCAATCCTATTAAATACAACATTGTCTCGAAGGGTGTCGGCTGTCAGAACTGATAGCGTCGAGTTACACAGATTGTTGTATCACCATAATATCAACCTAAAGAAGAAAAGAATAAATCGTTAAACTAGTGAATAATTATTATTTAACGCTAGGACTTATAGTATTCACGGCGGTGCCACATTTACACAGGAGACTTTCAAAAAAGATCGATAATATTTATCTAGAATGGCAGTATGTTTACTGCTCGATGAAGTAATGTTAGTTTTCATGGAATTATTTACCGCAGCATGTGAAACTATATTTAAATGACGTGGATGAGAAACAGACACATGGTGAGTGCTGAAAGCGCAAGTAATTAAGAACTGAGAAAATGAAGACAACATAATTATGTTTCGAAACCTTAGTTCTAGTTGCCACAAGCCAAAGAAATAAACTAACTCGTTAATCTGTTGGAACGCCAGTGAGCATTTTATGATTTATATGCATTAGGCACTGTTGCTTTAAAGAATAATAATAATGATTACCAGCCAAAATTGCAATATAAATTTAAACTTAATGAAACAAAGCAGTTTAAAACATGATCTACTGAATTAACCAGAAAATATTGATGGTTTAGTAGACTGAATCATCTATGATCAAACAAAGTCGATTGACAATATATATACATAATTCAGCAGACTTGGCAAGGAGGCAAAGTATACTCTTCACCACAAAAGCAAGCCAAGTAAACACTACCTTCAGCGTTTAATATCAAAAATGACTGCAGCCACAACAGGGTTGCCAATAGTAAAATGAAGCGGAAATCCGTCAAGTAATAATTGATAGTTTACATTAGCATTGTGTGTTATGAAAATAATTGTACTGCTTATATTATTTTTGCGGAAATTAAGTAAGGATCGATTTTAAAGCATGTGAATATTCAATATGCATTATACCATTTGAAACACCATGTTTATCTTGAGTGATTCCCGTCAAAGAGGGTGGGATGAATGTTTCCACACACATAGCGCACAGTCCAAGGTAAAGGAAAGCTTCTTAACTTCTAGTTAACAGAGACACGTTGAATTATATACAGAGCAGCTAACTATGGAATATTAAGGCTATTAACTCCAGTCAATTAGCTTCAGTACCATTAAATTCGTATGAAAAAAGGATTCGGAGAACATGAAAGTTTTGAAATGTGTATCATTCCCACTGGCTGAAGTGCACTAACAACTCCCATGAGTCACACCTCAATTACCTGTTCCGCCTACTTTGTAAACGCGCCAACTATTAAATTTGTCCAGGTAGAGATGACACAGGATAGGGGCTGAAATTATCCGTCACTTATCAAGGTCATTGGTGGAGTGAGACGCTCGAAGGTCATTTTCGTCCATTTTAGTCGGCCATGTTGGATCGCAGTTCCGTAGCTGTTCGTTAACGCGTTTGTTGTTCCGTTTATCCTGCCGTTATACACGACTTATCTTGTTGCGTATCGTTCACAAATGTTGCGTTTCACCTCATTTTTTGTTTCCGTTGCTGTTAAAATGAATTATTTCTTTGGTTTCGAAAGTTTTCACTACCAGGCCAGTGCATTCATTTCGGTGTAATTGTTTTCATACCTTGCATTCATGCGGCTTTGAGTGTTTTAGTTGGTTTTCAGCTGTTAATGAATTAGTACTGTGTAGAGGGTTTTGAAATTGTGCACATGAAGATGTTTGGCTGTCAGAAGCAGTTGTTTCCAGTCCATTAGTTGGTTGCCGTTACTATTGTTGGCTCAGTTACTTGCATAACATGTAGAAATCTGGAAAAAGAGTGTCTTTTTCGTTCATGTTTGCAGCATACAACAATCTGCGAGTGAATCTGTTGAAGAGAGCACCATCAGAGTTGGTATTAGCAAGGTTTTCGAAGAACAAATTAAACCCAGAGAATTTAGAACCTGGGTTGAAGTTGAAAAAGCTTTGAAGATTTTTGAGAATGTGAATATACCATCCGTGTGTCTGCTATCATTTAAAAAAATATATTGTGAGAGAATCTAAGCCAAATAAGGTTGAGCCGCATGAAAAGTATGAATCTGTTGTGCTTGTGTATATTTTGGGGGAACTAAAAGAACCTGGAATCCTTAAGGGTAAGTGTTACTTATGCTTATTATTGCTTGATGTACTAGATCGCAATAAATGAACTAGGACTACCCGTAATAGAGCCAGTGTTAACATCCATTCGATGGGTTGCAAAACGGTTTTCAAAGCGGATAAAATACGGTGATCTGGTGAGTGTACAAACAATCCCAGTTAAAGGTAAGACATTAATTAGGAAGAATAACGTTTCGGGTTGTAGTCTACGATTGGTGGTTTCCTCGAAGTTGTGATTCTTCCGTGACTATAGACACAGATGTTCACGATCTTAAAAAAAACTAAATAAATTATCCTTGAACCAGTAGTCTTCTTTTCTTCGGCGAAACATCCGTTAATACGACTATACGATTAGGTAGCGAAGTAAGATGTTATGTGACTGAGAATCGTGGTTGTTGTGTTTCTGACTAATTTCGCACATCTGACTTATAACCGCATGGAGATAGCGTTTTCCTCATGGTACATTATGATATCTAGAAATCATAAGCACGCTGCCATCGGTAAATTTATTTTTACTTTTTAAATGGCTGCAAATAGTGAGTCGTTTGCGGTGATAGGATGAATACCTCTGAACGTTTTTGTGGAGACTAGGGTATATTTAATTTTTTCGAGTAAGGGACGATCTTTTTACCAAGAAAGTTCTCGGAATTTTCGTTATTCAAAGATAACGCTAAGTTGCCCACTAAGGTAGTAACTATAGGAGATAACCTTCAGCGGAAACTATATTAATGTAGTTTTAGGTAATGCGTCATAGAAGTCAGCATCGTAGGTTAATTGTGTCTAAATGTATTAAACGTTGTATAACTGATCAAACCATAGTTCTTACGTGCGAGTTAGTTTTATAAATAATGAATGTACCGTACAAGCGTCTACCATGATTTGCATACCTAGCTCATAAACATTATGCCTGCATGTGGCATACATTTAGGGCCAACACGCTGCGATGAATCAGTCCGAGATACTTAGAGTCAGACTTCATTTCCATATCACTATTATCAATTTTGCAACGGTCATAGGAATTAACACCTTCAACTAACTTTCGTTTACATCGGAAACTGAAAATAACAGTCTGACATTTCGAAGGATTTAGTTTAAGAGCATTTTCCCACTCCTAATAGAGAGCTGTTCATCTTAGTACGGTGTAGTTGGCAGTTAACAGACATTGAAGTAGTTAGATCGTCCGCGTGTTTGAAAAAGTTCTTCTCGTATGCATTCGTACAATAACTTCATCAAACAAAAATACAATTGGTAATGGACGACTTCCCCCTGACCTACAGTGTTCTGCTTTCTCCCTGATAAATTAGAATGAAGCCATCTAACAATCCAATACTCAGTTTGAGTTTCAGCAAGCTTATCTAACAGAATATCTCTAGGTAGTGAGTCGAAAGCGGATGTGTACTCTAGGAAGGTGCAGCGAATTTAGCCCCATTGTCTATACTGGAGAAAATGTTGTGAAGCAAGACTGCAGCTGCATCTAAAGTACGTCTACTGTGTTTATAGGAGAACTGTTTGGGATCGTTAAAGGCTCTGAGTGAGGGTTAAAGATTAAGTAAGAGTAACTTTCCCTTAGTTCGTATATACCTCATTTGATTTGAAACAAAGGAAGCAGGTCTTATTAACGCTTGTAACACTAGAAAGTTTGGCATTTATGGGAGAATTTATGAAAGACTTGTTTAGTTTACACACACCAAATGAATAGGAAATACTGGAGGTAATTACATGCATACAGGCGTAGGTTATTTAACATCTATAAAGTAGACATGCAAATACCGCAGTTTTTGATCACAGAAATGATGGATACTAGATAACATCCTATGATTCAACGGCATATTAAAATAAATAAAAAATGTTTCTTAGCTGATGGTCAAGTGAACAGTCTATTTGATGATGTCACTGCATATTAACGGATTAGTGAAGTAGATATCAAGCCTAAGTTACTACATTTACTTGTACTACATACTTGGCGTTTAACAGTAAACAGACTTTCAACTGGTTAGATAAGGCGACTTTAGAGTATCCAACAGTACAGAATTATTATTCAACTTGCTAAATCCCACTTAGCTTTTACAATGTGCTATTGTGTAGAAACAGACACGAAATCCTACTAATGACTAAAGTAACATTCTCATAATACTACAGTGAATTTCCATCCCACTAACTAAGCTTAGCGTTTATTATTCCTAATTCACTTATTACAAAAGCACATTGTATAGCGAGGAATTGAAGAAGTCTACAGGAAGAAGTAATCAAGAGTATATTAAACATTTGATTAATTTACAAAAGAAAATTCTGATGAAGGGTAATAAAGTTAGTTTGACCGAATGATGTTTCCGCTGATTTCATATTCGACAACCTCCGTAAACCTGGAAAAAATAAAGTACATGTTAGAACTAGCATAACATGAAGTTAACAAGAGACAATTCTACATATTAGCATACAATATGAATACAATCATTCTGTTAAAACTAAGTATTATCTCAGGGAGATAAATGTATTTGTAGTCTACAGCTGATATTTATGTTGACGCCGTATACATAAATATACATCATATGTTTTCCTGCATTTGAGGACTATATGCAAATTTCAAGGCAATCTCCGAAACATTCATACTATTGAGGCGTCATTCTCTCATCAAGCTTACTTGCAGATCAACTTCACACTAAACACTTTTACATGAAATGAAGTATTGCAAGTGTATAACTTAGAAGTTAATCCACAATCTCAGTAATGTCTAGTCCACAAGGTTTTGTGAATCCTACAGAAATCACATTTTCACATTTAGGAGACTATAGGCATCAAATATAAGCTGAACATGCCTCAACTCTAGACAGCTATGCACAGTGCTAACAACATAGTGAAACACTTCAACTATTGTAAAGTACACAGACCTGTTGTGTTGATGAGGATAATAATGTCATATAATGCAAACTAGAAAATTCAATCGTCATAGAGCATCTGTACTGCTTTGTCTAAATGGAAATCTCAGGAGAAATTCATCTCCACTATTGGTGATCAAAAATATTGTAGCATTAAGTATACAGTCAGTGGAAATTGTAAAAGAGAATAAATTCATATTAATGATAATAAAGCTGAATAGATTCAGTTCTAGTAACCACCTTCGTTTGTTATCCTATCAGTCAGCTTAGTACACAATGGCACAATATTATTATAGTTGAGATATTTTTGTACATTTAATTAACATAACCCATAGCACACTGCACCAACCAGTGCCAATATATATGAAATCCATTTAGAGATAACCTTTCACCCAAGCTTACAAAAATTCTAAACTTATTCTAACCTATGCGTCGATAATGCCTTTTTTTGGTAAATGATTATTTTTTCTACCCACTATGCTCTGAAATAACGCTGGTCGTGCTGAAAAATAGAGCTGGGTGCTTAATTAATGCGACAAATTCTTAAAAATAAGATCACCATCTGAAATAATGCCTTAAGTGCTGAAAATAAGCACGGCATGCTTAACTGCTCCGGTTAATACTGAAAAATAGCACGTTATCTCTCTCTCTCGACATCGTATATCCAAACCAACCAACCAATCAGCAAACAGTAGGTTTCACACAGAGTACGTAGTGTGACGGCTTCACACTTGTCTGTGAATTTAATGTGATGTGATTGGTTTATTTCCCCGGAGGTGTGACAGTAAATATGAATACAATGGAAACATAATTCAACAGGGGGTAGGGGAATGTGAATTGATAACATATGAAGATTGTAATGAATAATATATTTCGTTTGTGGAGCGTCACTGAATTTGATTACAATTCAGTTGAAACGAGGTCACAATTGAAAAAAATTATAAGCAAGGTAGGCTGTGTCTAATGTGTATCCTAGTAGCTATGAGGATAACATTTTTAGTTCATCGCTTCGAAATTTGATAACAGCTCAGTAAAAGTGAGGTCAAAAATGGAAACAAAAAACAAATTTGATAGAACATATTGGGCCATATTTAATGCACTTTATACAGTCGAGGGAATACATTTGTCATGATTTGTGTATACGAATAAATGATAACTATTCACTTATGACAAGCCCACGGTTTAAAAGTTCAAAAGTATTTGAACTTAAATGGATTAACTACAACAAATGAAAACCTATGCTTATCATGACTGAAATACAAAGAAATATAAAACACAAAAATTCAAAACGAATTAAAGGGGGGGGAGGGGATGAAAAATGAAAACCCTTAGATGAAAAAGGATACTTGTCATAAGTGAAGTGTAAATTTTTTCCATTACTGAGCACAGGTTACGAGGTTATGTACTTAAACCTTGGGAATCCAAACGAAACAAGGTGGGGGTGATTGTGTTGATTCATAGACGAAAACATACACTTCCCATAAGGAAAATGTTAACAGTTGTGATAACAGTTCATCCCTCATCCCTTTTCATTTTAAAAGTACGGATGTTTGCATAGAGGTATATAAACAGTACGCCGTACATACAGAGATCATTCTAACAGGATTTATAAATCATGCAGGTGAGTTAGATTTTGGGTGTTTATTTGTTCAATTCTCTTATAAGGAAAACAACTCCGATAATGTGTTAAATACCGGTATTCAACATTCTACAACAAGTCGTAAGAGAAGAATATCTTCTGGCAGACTGCATGAATGCCTTGGATACAGCTACTCAACATTTTATCGCCGTCAAAAACGGTTACGTGATGCAGCATTTAGTGACTGGGACTTATGGAAACGTTACTGCTCATCTGCAGAAGAGGTGGCAAGGGATAATACAGTAACTATACCTTCAAGTTCAGCTGTCCAGGGAACAGCGGGTTCACCTAGTAGTAGTGAGACCGTCGCTGTTGTTTCACAAATTGAAGAGAATCGTAACATTTATTAATATGTAATAATTAATTTCTATAGAACTTCAGGTTGTTCCTAAAAAGATGACACAAGGAGAGCTAGTCAGAAAGTCAATTATGGAATTATTCCTTCAGAACAATGTAACAGGGGCGCTTGCGCAAAATGTCTTATGGTAAGTTGCAACTTACCATAATTCCTGTCCAACCACATATAAAGTGAAAAGCACATCTAAATGACAACTTAGGTTCCCACCAACGATTCTGATAACATTTGCAGGTGATTTCCAAGTATTGAGAGAGTTATTTTGTCAAAAAAGACTGTTCTTCACACGAAAATAGGCTGTATTGATATCCTGAGACATGAAGTCTTCATTGAATGATACTATGCCGAAAGATGCAGCTTCTACATGGAGTAAATGAGTGGTGCAAATGGCATTACCCTCTAACTATCCTATCTCCCTCATTACACCGACATTTTGATACATTCCATCTGAAACACTAATCATTGCAACCAATATGCTAAAAGTGTGTCGCAGTCAGATCACATGAGGCGGACACAAACATAACCAGCCAAAAAGTGGGAATTTACCTCAATCTAGATAACATATAATACAATTTTATTAAAAATTATTGGCAAAAAAAATTCCAAACGTAACTTCTAGAGTACGTGACGAATAAGTCCAGCCCAGGATAGGCCCTTGTAGTCTATGTTACTTTTTGTGGTACATGTTTCTGTAGAAACCTATTTTATGTTTGAAAGAGTTCACTGAAAGGGCTAATAATATCTGATCGTGTGAGCAGTCGCCACTCTGCGTGAGGACCTAAAATTACCTCGTATTTTTTTCTCCTACAGTTTGGACATCTTTTTGTGATGATTTCAGAAACGTATCCAAGAAAGGAAACAGAGGCCAGAAGGACCGACAACCAACCCTCTTCTGACGTACTACATGACGGAATTAACTCGTGTCCTTTCCTTCAGAATGATAAATATCTCATCCTCTTCTCGTAAGATTGGTGGCAGGCACCAGTGAGTAATTTACTTTTTTCATTCCATGACTCTTCCAAGACTCCTACCTCCTCCTTAAATCACGGACTCGTAGCTTCTAAACACTTCTGTGTGGGGCCTGACATGTTGCTCGGGGTATTTTAAACACAGATTCATCTCAGTGATAGAAAGCTCTTCGAAAAGCATTAGGTGCGGCCGAGTTACAATGCACATTTGTTTTCAAATCATGAGTGATAATATTTTCCAAGTCTTAAGGCCCTTTGACTTTATGCAGTTTTGTGTCCCCCAGGAAGAACTACGTGAGTGACTTGTGATTTTAGTGCATCTTCTTCTGATATTGATTTCAAAATCCAAGAGTCTGATCATACATTTTATTTATTCAAATGGACTTTGGCATACTGACCTATTATCACCACTATTTGCAGTTTACCAGATCTTGATATCATGGATAAATAATAATGAATATGAGGCAGGAATCCCAAGTAGTTCGTTTACGTACATTAGGAATGACAGGAGGCCCGGAAGGCTACTCTGTGGTACTCTACTCGATGCTAATGCCTGTTTCAAGAGTTCACCATTAAACCTCACCTTCGGCCTCCTCTACAGTCGGCAATGTCTACTTCATGGTTCGAAACTCCTAATCTTCAAAATCAGGATTCACTCCAATTCAATACAAAACAGTGAGCATGCTAGATATTTCTATGGTTTTAATGATTTTTCAGACATACATATGGAGCATTTAAGCCTGATCAGCCTTCTGTAACCATTTAACAACAGCCGAAATCCTACATACAATCCAGTTGTATGGAGGTTAAGTACAGTAGAAGAAGAAAAATTCTGTGGCGGTGTGCCTGATATATGCACGTTGCTTTGCTTCCACCTCACCAGAGTCCTCAATAATGAGGACAAAATGAGTGGTATTAATTCGATAATATCACCAGCTGACGATTGAGTAATATTACGTTGACATCACCAGAAACTTTGCTAGCTACACTACCACTCTGCACGTCATATAATATTGACCCCATCTATTCTGTTGAAAATAGCTGGCGAGCATATATACTCCTAAATCCTTTTAGCACAACCTTAATCAGTGGCAGTTACCTAGAGCTCTGGGACGTGTCCTCTATGTACCTAAGTGCATTCAATATAGAAAACTGTCGATTTATCAGTGTCGCGTCGGTATTTTTCAGGATTGTGACAAATGTCAAGGGTAAAACACTGATTTGTACCCTTACGGTGGCAAGCTGTTTACCTGGCATAAAACGACTTCTTGAAAGGTAGGCCACACCTCATTGATGACTAGACTACTTTGATGGTGATGGCACCAGACAGGTTAGTGTTTTGCTTGTTTCAACCCGCTTCCTCCGCTTTAAGGAGGTATCAGTAAATTCCCAAATATAAGATTAGCCGGTAAACCACAGTTGTATGGCCTCCAAAATCTTGTCTCGAATCATCCTTGAAGTTCCACTCACAAGCAGTAAGATCGTCTAATATCAATCACCACACAAACTCATATGATCCAGGGTATTGCCCTCGGATCACTGCGCTCCCCGATTTATGTCAGTGATTTAATGCGGAACATAGTATATTTTTGCCAATGGCTGACAGGCCAAATAAGCCATGAAATATGAGTAATGCCTATTAATTGCCATCTATACCGATAAGAGTGAAGTCCTGCACTTAACTACATTCACTCTAACTTCTGGATGAGTTTTTTCATCGAACCCCAGATTCCATGAAAAATCTACGCGTTACCTACACAACATTTGCACACTAAACATAATCTATTGTTTCTAAGTGTAGGAGTAACACAGACCTGCTATATCCAAAACTCTGCGCCACTGGGACTTTGTTTCCTCTGTGCAAAATAACCGTTTGTTCGGTGTTCATATACCGCACAATGATCTTCGATCCACAATAGGATAAAATAGGATTCATGTTGAAAATATGGAGTTTATCACGACGCTTTAAACAAACCCATTAAAACTTTCAGTGCGACGATAAGTGCGTTGAAAAGGAGCTAAAAATCACTTCGGTGAAGATATCTAAGCCTAACCTGACTTTCCGCTGTCATATTTCATACGGCAAAACTAAAAGCAGTTGTCTCGTTGCTTTTGGCAGTAAAGCTACACATTCACCGAGTAATCACTGACGCACCAGCTCTATAACTAGATGCTGGAAAAACTATGTTTATGGTATGTTCAGAGCAGATGCATTCGCTCTCAAAAACAGTTTTTATGAGTTCAGTGTTCTCAGTAGATTTTTCAATAAATTTCTGAAAATTTGTGCCCCTCTTACCAAGTGCAACAGTTACTGGACGATAGGCAAATGAATTCCAGGCCAACCGACGAATATTACAGAGCGCATGTACATAAATCACGTTAGAGTAAGCAGATGAACAGGACACGGCTTGTAGCCATAACGAATATGAGAAGAGCTTTGCTAATGTCACTTCCGTCAGCCTTAAACTTCTGGCTGGTTTCATCTGGGGCCCCCACCATCCTTTTAATTGGAAGGAATGGGCTGTAATGGCAAACAATTCATCAGATTTATTAGGATACAGCATTCATTTTCAGTGTTTAGGTCAGCTGATAAAGCTGAAGTTATGCAGTCACGATCTCTTGCCGCTTGGCTCGCCGTTGTGTTGTGTGAAGTCGTTCGTCAACGATCCCTCGGTAGCTAGGCTACCGTCGTCACTCAGTAATTTTGACCTAAAAATATATTTAACATTTTGGACCACCAATTCATCCTTGGTCCTGTAGAACGAGTTCCCTAGGCGTTGTAGTTGAATGCTCACATTTGCATGCAGAGTACCTTGTGTAACGGCAAAAATCCTTCGTCTCTCTAAAAATTTCTAGGAAAATATCGGAAAATAACAAAATTTCAGACTTAAGGTCCACGCGAAGGTTATTTTCATCCATTTTAGTATACTAAAAAGGATGGCATTTCGTGTCTCGCTGCAATTGTTAACACTAGATTATAGTGGGATTTTTCCACGTATAATTAGTTTTCTATTCTACTATTGGTTGCTTTTTAAGTTTATTTCTTTTGGCAGTTTCTACTATCAGATCAGTTCATTCATGATTTTTAGATACCACTTTTTTGTAGTTGTTTTCTATTTCAAGGCTATCTGTTAGAAACTGACTTAGAAAAGATTTGAAATGATACACTGAGTGATTTTCTAAAGGCATATGTTATTGAGTGCAGCTGTTTTTCAGCTCCCCTAGCGAGTTCCCATGTTTTACTAATCGGCGTTTTTGAAGTGGGAGAGGACACCGTATTGTATGTCAAGGTCCATGGAGACGTGGTTGGCATTTAGGCATGGAAAAGTAGTGACAGAAAAGAAGGTCACATCATAGTTGCCCCCCAAAGCTTATTGCTTATTCCCCTCTTTAGAACCTTTGGAAAAATTGTTGGGCCTAACCAAGATCAACCCCAAGTTAGAGTCTATTCTACAAATTTTTGAAGATAACCGTTTTATTATTATTATTATTGTATCCTTTAGTTCCTAGAGGAACATAGGGCTTCAGCTGCGCACCTCCATTGACTTCTGTTTTCTGACAACTTTTTCACCCTGCTCCAGGTCTGTCCACATGCTTTCATCTCCTCCTCGCATGACCTCCTCCAAGTCACCCTTGCACTGACGACCAACTCGCCGCCTCCCTTTCGGGTTCCACTCGAGGGCTTGTCTAGTGATGTCACTCACTTGATGGTTTCCTCAGCGTATGGCCAATCCATCTTCATTTCTTTCTGCCTATTTGTTTCACGATCGGTTCCTGATTGGTTCGCTCCCAGAGATCCCTGTTGCTGATCTTTTTTGGCCATCTGATCTTGAGTAATTTATTTCTGTAACAGAAACCAGCCATTTTTACAGGCATGAACATATGTACACTTATGAAAACTTATAGAATATATAATATGATTTGTTAATTTAGAAATAAGTTGAATACTGTTAAATGTGAGAGAAACACTTAAAATGAAGTGTACAAATAAGGAAATAGATATAGCGTGAAATCTGAACTGTGATTCAAAAAAAATACATGTCAGTTTCACGCGGGAATCATAAATGATTGCGTTAGTTGGGAAGGTAAGTAGCATTTCTGTGCAGGTGCTGACGTGATACGTAAGAGATGCAGAATAAACAATAATTATCATTAAATCATTCAGAAAGAGTTTTAAAGTCTATTAAACTTTAAATTCACCTGTAAGTACATCATATTTGTAACATTTCCAGTTGTTTATGAGACCCACTTTGAACTAGTTAGCAGATTTTATAATACCGATGATCCCGTTATTCACCAGATGAGCTAGCAATATCACAAATAAGTAGAGAATTGCAGCGCTGTACCTTCGTTGGAAGCAGTATGTTTGAAAAGAGAAGAAGACACAAGAAAACCGGTAGACAGGTGCAGAAGTATATAAAAGGTGTTAATAATTCAAAATATATAACAAA